GGGAGATTCCATGTGCATTTTTTCCAGTGGAAAAAACTTTTCACAATTGAGGTCCCAAAAACAAATTTATTATTGAGGATCAGGTGCCTTCCTGGTCTACTACCTTGAAAATTTGTTTAGGAGCAATGTTTTATAAAGGGTTTAATTGGGTTCAGAAGGAAGGGAGGGGGAGTGCAGGTGGACAGGGTTCAGAAGGAATTCAAACCCTCATTAATTGGGTTTCCAATTTAACGATTTAGGGCCAAAAAAAAATTAGCATTATAGAGGTACCATTTTTCAAACAGGGGGGTCTGAATAATTTTGGAAAAATTTAGCATTCTAGAAGTCCCCTTTACTAATCGTGATCCAACATTAGATTAACACAACACCATTCTTTTGGCTGGCATAATGAATCTAGTACACGGCGGCCACCGCGGACATGCTTTTTGTATTGCATACGGAGAATGTGGTGCGCATGTTTTTGTTTCAATATTCTTTATACAATGTGGTCTTCGTGGCCTTGCGTGGGCGCGTTCCTGATATATCCCAGGATCAGGGATCTCTTTCTAAGTGTCTCTTCGCAAAAGGCCATCTTGCGAGAGAATTCCACGTTCGATTTCAAAGGCCACCCGTTTTCTGCTGAGGATGTCAAGTCAAAAGACGATGACTCTGAGCCGCTTAGCTTGCTGTTTTGCCTGATGTCGACTCAATCCTTTGTATATACACAAATTTAATACTGCAAAATCCTCCAAATGCGTTGTGATGGTCTTTGCACCAGCTGACTTGTGCTGTGCGAGGCCGGACACAGAGATTGAAGATGTGGTCGCACAGTTGGCACCTGAGAGTTGGACCGAGAAATGACGAGAGTTTGCACCTGGTACATTGTCGAAGACAGGCTGCATTTGGCCCGGCTGAGTTCCATGCATTTGGAAGTGTTCAGGCCTGCTCATTGGTTTGCACCGGGTGGCTTGGGAGATCCGGATGGTGACTTGTTGCCTGGCGGCATTGGTAGGCTCCAACGCTTCCAACATCCCACAACAAACACTGAAAGGGATCATGCTTTTAAAAACACATCAGGGATTGTCTTTGTAGATCATGGAAGTCATGGCACAACATTGTAGATCATGAGAGATGCGGCTTCGACCTAACACTTGGCCTAAGTGTTTTTGTCAAGCATATGTGAGTCATGCGTGACATTCAGTCCAGGGCGGTTCCTTGGGCAACTTCTGGTCTTTTTGAACCATTGTCCCTGCATAGTGTAGTCATGTGTAGTCTCCCATCCCTGGTCATGGTTTTTGTTTTCTGCCTTCCGTGCACGGTGTCGTGTGAGGCAAGACACATCAGTGGATGGGCTCCAGGAAGCAGCACTCAGAGGTGATATTTGTTTAGTACGAAAGTCCGAGACTCAGAGTGAAAGCCAAAGCCTGTCATGGCTGTAATCGAAGGTGTTTCAACGCGACAAAAACTTGGTGATCTCAACTGATTGATATGTTCCTAAGGTACATCATGGCAGAAGCGCCGGTCAATGCGCCGCTACATGTCGCTGGAGGCGATGAATACCTCACCCTTCTGCATGCAGGGTGCCCAGATCTTTCTTGCTCCTAAAGTGCTTTTGCTTGCATATCCTGTTAGCCAGCAAATTCGTCGTGTCAGCATGCCAAGGTCATTGCTAGCATACCTGGCTTGCCAAATGGTCATCCCAGCAGGAGTTGTCCCACTTTCAAGACTTTGGTTGTATTTTCTGTCGTCCTGTTCCATTCGTGCGGTCAGTCTTGGGGGTGTGCAGCATGGCCATGGGTTTATGTTCCTCTCTTTCTCCAGCATCTTTTTTCCAGTAAATATATAGTAGCATTAATTGATTTTGAAGACAGTGAGCTGCTACATACACAATGATCAACCATCATCAATCACTGTCGCCTGAGGGTGGAGGCAGCGCCCAATGTTTGGCTTCTTTTTCGTTGGCCACTCCAGGTCTTCACATTGTGGCAGAACTGATTCAGGCCCAGGTGCTGAATACAGACGCAGGGGAGGATGGACCATTTCGTGTCGGAGCAAGAACGCGACAGGCATACTAGCACTTTCAATACAAGGGTTCCTGTGAGATGCCACTCAACAATTAGGTACAGATCATCCTCAAAATCTGATAGAGCGGAGTCAAAAACTGCAGACCATCCAGTCACTCTTCCATCAGGCGAATCCAAATGCTCGCAGCACCTTGGGTTCCACTCCGTGACACTGGCTTGTTTCCATCTCGTAGACCGTGAGGAAAACCCCGAGTAGTCAGGTCCATTTTGCAGTAAGGAAAGCATACTCCAGACTCTCTATATATATATATATATTAACACACAATGTTTTACAGTAAAGCATTTTCTGGCCCATGCCTCAAGGGATCCATGAACTCCGACAGGCTCATGTTTGCTTGCTTCCACAAGAACGTGGGCTTGGCGGAGGCAGTGTTGAATGCTTCAGGTAGTATTCACCCTTGCAATTGCTGGAGGGTTTCACTACACTTGGAAAAAAGGGCTAGACAAGTGAACACCAAGTTTTTATGTCGTACAGCTGGATTAAGCTGTACAAGGTCGCTTCCCCAGAAAGGTAGTCCAATGATGTCCTGCTAGGCTTTTTCATTTTGTGGACACAGAGCTTACACGTGGCATCTCCATGGATTGGGTTCTGGAAGTTGGGGAAGATTTCAAGGTGTTGCTGGAAAGTGAAGCAGATCCTGAAGCTGCAAGAGCCTCAGAATTTGGCATTTGCAAAGCAGGGCTACGACACAAAGCTGTGCGGGTCTCACACCAAAAGATTTGCAGCTAAGGTCGACGACCATGGCAAAACAGCCCTCAGATATGTCGCCTGTCGCTGCATAAACTGGGTGGGCAAAATTCCTTGGGCTTTGAGCGTGTAGTTGGATGTGGCCATTTGTGTGCTACATCATTTAGCGCACTTTCGAGAGTTCTTTTTCTTGATTCGAGATTTGTTCAGGCCAACATTGCTGAGGACATATGTTGTATGAATTGTCAGTGAGTATTTGTGCTTTCAACATGATGAGTCCGCTGAGCCACAAACCTAGGCTGTCTCCCTAGAAAGGAAGGGCACTGATGCTGCACAGAGGAGCGTTTGGGTCACCCGGTCACCCAGAATGGAGAGTTGGACCAGAGTTGGAGCTTGCAGGCAGTCGAGCTGGTTGCTAGCAAATAGCAGGATTTTTTGGCCCAGAATTCGTCAATCCATGGGATGGCTGAGCCCGGTAAATGTTCATCAGGGGCAAAGAAGGCATGCGAAGATGCATGGGTTTGTTGTCAAGATGCTTGGGTTCCTCTGAGGCTGAGCTTGTGAATATCTTGGAGAGCCAGGGCGGAGATCTTGACAACGGTGGCACTCGGTCTCCCATGGCTGAGGAGGGTTGCTGTTTGGAAGCACAACACGCGAAAACAGCTCGATGGTTTTTCACGTCATGTTGAGAATGATTCCGCACTCAAGTGGAACTCGCCCTGACCATCACTACATAGAAATTCAGGAAGTAATTGCTGGGTGGAAGTGCAACACGTCAGTGGCATTTGATTGGAACTTTCCCTTTGGAATGCAACGTGTGATGTGCTAGGCCATTCTCCAAGACAACGGTGATGCAGTCACTTGATCAAATAGGAGTCAACGTCTCGATTGAAAGTGTGCACTGTGCACCACGAGTACAAATAGCTGTTTGTAGGCCCTCCTATATAAATACACAATATTTTGTATTACCACTCATGGACCTGACAGCTGTTGTCTCTTCACATCAAGATTGCAAAAATGACAACGCAGGGATGAGGCAATGATCTCAGGAAAGATGCACTGGCGGTGCTTCTTGTGCTGGCTGGCCTTGTGTGCCAAGGTCACTCGGTTGCTGGAGCTGGGTGCAATGCATGATCCTTAGATTTACTCTTGACTCTTGTCCCTAGATTTTCTCTTGTCCTTTTTTCTTCTCTTGAAGTTAATGTTGCGACAGGGGGTATGGAACCACGCTACTGGCCATGCCTATGTCCTATGTAGAAGATGCCATTTGACTACCCCTTGCTAGGAACAAGGAAAAGTGAAACGACATGTGTTTGACATCGGCACAAAAGCGAAGGGGGCATTATTATAGGGGCCCTTCGGCGCTTACCATTTTTTCGGCCTTGCTTTTTCTTTCATTTTTCCTTTGTCAGAATCAGGTCCGACGGCTTGGTCTATGCTGTGGCTGAGAAGTCTTTGCATGTGATCAAGGCAGAAGTCTTCTTTCTGGCGGTCTGGCAACATTTTTGTGGTGGTAGCGTTCAATGCTTCAAGTCACAATTCACTTGGCAAAGTGCTCATTGTTTGGTTTTGCTTTTAAGGACCACCCAGGAACGCTTGTTTGTCCTGAGTCATGTTTCGAGAGGAGCTCATGTCTGGTGGAGCAAACCCATTTGCCAGAAATGAGGCGGGAGTTGGGATGGAAGCGAAATTGAGGCAATGCCGAGTAGAACTCCTGAGTAGAACTCCTCCACTGCCAGTGTCCAACCAAGTATTGATGACGATGATTCAATTGATGATGATGATGATGATGATGATGATGATGACCACGGAGTATTTGCCAAGGAGAGTGGAATTCGATTGCCTGCATGTGCTTCACTGGTGTGGATTTGGTCCCAGCACGGGAGTGGATGCCCCACTGGGTGTTTAGCACGTGCGCTATTTGCCGTGTTCGGGACCCAATTTGCTGCGAATTGAACATGCCACAGGCTGGCCTAAGCTGCTGGGAGGTGGCCCTGGAGCGTGACAATGAGGTGGGACTGGCGATTTAACCTGTGAGATCTCTGATGAGTAAGTGCTGCCAGGATATTTTGGATTGCCTGGATCATTACATCGCAGAAACTGAGAGGTGCCACCTTCCCTGCTGCATGCTGACTTACGTTGCAGAAAATAGATAGGTTGGTTCCGATCAGCCTTTTTCAATTTAAGCAACACTGCTGCAACAGAGGCAGGGCCAACTGGTGGAACTGGGTAGCCAGGTCACGGAGTGAACACTTGAAGCTAAAGCAGTGTGGCACCCGGATGGCAGTGAGGAAATGGTCCTGCATTCTTCGATTGTAAATATCTTCCATGCTTCTCTGACGTAGAATGAAAAGTTGTAAGGTATTGAGTATTGACACTTGTTTGCTATTTTGGCTTTCTCGCCAATATTTCGGACTTGAGCTGGTGTGACCCCAGAAGTAAAAGAAGAGTGGAGGAGGAGTTACTGAAGGAGAAGGCAGAGAAGGAGAAAAAGGATAAGAAGACGAGAAGCAGAAGCAGAAGCCGGAGAAGAAGCAGAAGAAGAGGAACAAGAAGAGGAGGAGGGGGAGGAGGATGAGGAGGAAGGGGAAGATGTGGAAGCAGAAGCAGATAGCAGTGGTAACTGCAAAGGAAAGGAATAGGATGAGGACAAGGAAGAGGAAGTGGTTAGGAGCATGGTAGTTCACCATGCTTGTGTACTTGGCGGCTGCTGTCAGTGTGTTTAGAGAAGAAGGGAATTCAAGGATAAAGTCGGAGAAGTCATCAGTCTTTCAGGCTACACATGCAGACCTGGGAGGAAAAATGAAGAGCTGGCTGACTAACAAGCCTGCATTCGAATTCATGTGCACTTCTTAGGTTCGAAGAACAACCACTTTGGACGCTCAAGGGTTCGGAGCATTGTCAGGCCAGGAGCTGATACCAACAGCGACCTAGTTCAGAAGTACTTGTCGGAGTGAAACCCTTTGAGTGATTGAGATCTAGTTTGTAATTTCCAGTTCATGTCAAATGAAGCAGAAGACCATGTGCCTCCTGAGATTCAGCTCCATTCTTGGCCGATTGATTGCTTGGTTGGTTGGTTGGTCGGTTGGTTGGTTGGTCGGTTGATTGATTGATTGATTCATTGATTTGCTGCTGACACAATGTAGCAATGGGCTATGGGATGCTTCAGCAATTACAACATGATTGGGCAGTGTGATCCTGACTTAGGTTTCTAAGACACTAGACATTTGTCGATGACTCCCTGCCTGCCACTTATGCAGCTGCATGGCCGAGCTGCGGCCCGTCCGAGCAGTGGCAGCTTTGCTTTCGGCGGAGGACTTGCAGGACTTTACTTTTGTGTCGGATTGCAGAGGTGGATGCCTTGTTCGTCCAGCGTTTTATTTGGAGTGTGCATCGCCAAAATCACCCTAAGGACTTCAAGATTACTTTTCCGAGGGGCAATTCGGGATGTTATTCAGTTTGGGCCTGTCTCTGAGGTGTTGGAGTTCTACGGAGAAGCAAGACAACCACATTGAATAGAGCCTACGGATAGATCGTGTTCAATTCCAAGATTGGTCATTGAAAAGAGCTTGGGAAAAGCAATGTCCACAATGTCCGCAAGGCAATCTATAACAGAACATCCCATTTGCCAAGAGTGTTGCCTGGAGGATATCGAAGCCTTGCTTTCCTCTCACCGCCTCGCTTTCGACACACTGGCCATTGAGGCGGCACATGCGAAGGGCACTCTGAAGGATGCAGTCCAGGTGGCAGATTTCCAAGAGGAAAGCGGAGCCGCCGAGGAAGCACTTCGTTTGGCCTACGAGCGGCTCACGCAACAAGAGGCTGCAATGCAGGCAGAGCGAGAGGAAGCTCATGCAGAGATTGCGGAGCTGCATGAACAGTTGACACTAGGCAAAACAACAGATTTTGGAGTCGAGACAGCTCTTTTGAGCACTTAGTTGGTTTTTGTGCAGTCTTTTTTCAATCGACAGTCATTTGATCCTAGGAATTCCTTGAGACAGTTGCAGATGGCGCAGTTGCAGCGCGGGGGCAGTGCGGCGGACGTTCGCCTTTGCGACCAGGTGCTGGACCTGCAAAGGCGCAGCCAGCGGAGCCTTCAATGGCGCTGCCAGGAGCTTTGCGTTGGCGCCGCCTTTGCGGTGTGGAGGATTCGGACCGTCGCCTTTTCAGCAAAGGTCTCTGAGAGGGCACGGCTCCGCATGGAATGGCGAAGCCGGGTGGAGAGGTTGAGCGAAAGCCTCCAGAGCTTGGAATGTGGATTATCCTTCACTGCAATATTCAGAGCCTGGGCTGAAGCTGTGAATGGAAAGCTGAAACGGCAAAGCCAAGGAGTGTCCAGGTCTAATTCGAGAATTCATCTTTTTAGATGCTTGCAGGCATGGAGGCGTGTGGCCATTGCAATGGCATCCTTACAACACTTCAGCTGGATCGAGCCTTCCCAAGTCTGCTCTCCAGAGTTTGCATCTGCTGCATGGCAGATGTCACCTCGGGTGTACCGAGCTGTGTTGCTTTCTGCATCAAACTGAAGTCTGAACGTCCATCAAGCACACAGTGACTCGAAAAGTGTGCAGCGGGAACAGTCTCAGCTACTCCCGTGGTTTGTTGCTGTGAGATACTTATATAATGTCTGCAACAGTAGAAGTCGTTCTTCATGGGTTTGAAAAAAGCCAGCGAAGCAGAGAAACAAGATGCCGTCCAAATTAATTGTACCGGTGCGCTTCGGGTTGGGGGAGGGTTGATGGAAGAAAAGGGATCGAGCAGTCCGTGCCCAGTGGTTGCTCAGCGGCCGCTCTGAGCCGAAAGCAGAGGCGCGGCTCAGAACAACAGGCTCTATTAGTGCGATTTGAATATATGCTATATTAGCTATATTGGTGCCATATTAGATGGACCTATACTGTATATGTATATATCTATCTATCTATCTATCTATCCATCCATCCATCCATCCATCCATCCATCCATCCATCCATCCATC